TCTACGCATTGAGCTACTATATTTCTCTAATATTTTAAACATCAAAATGCAACAACGTCACTTACATCATCATCACCGTATCTCGCACGCCACTGATGACGCTCCCTGATGAACACCTAACATTCGACAGTACCATTTTTGCATTCAAATGCAAATGTTTATTTTAAATTCTACTAATATTCTTTTTTTTTTACTCACAATCTCCTCATCACAGGCAGGCACAGCACTCATGTTCGTGTTTGTGTGTGCTGTCTGCGTCACTCATAGCACGTGCCTATATCGAATATTTTTTCTATCGTTATCGATGAAGGTGTACCGTCGATAAATATCGATACCGTTTTATCGCCCAGGCCTAGGCTAAACAGAAGCTAATGCACAGACAGATGTTAAACTCCACTGGGCATGGGGTGTTTAGTCCAATTATGACCTGTGTTTAAGAGCAATGGTACTTATTTAATCTGTTAGCATTCATAACATTTCAGCTTTTCACTTTTGAAATTCTCAGCATATCATATGCATGCAATCTCAAGTGCATGAAACTCAAAAAGTACTTGCATTTCTATATAGGTGTCAGTGCTCACACTGCTGTTAGTGTTTGGCTCTGTTTGTTTGTTTGCTAGCTGGCTAGCTCTGTAATTTGTCAACACCATTGAAATGAAAATGAAATGCACAGGTTGTTGAGACGTGTACAAGGGAGTGCTGCCTATAGGGGGCGTATAATGGTTCAAAATTGTTCACCATACGCCAGGGGTTTTCAAAATAGGGCCCGGGGACCCCAGGAGGCTACAAGGGAGTGCTAGGGTGTCTAAATTTTTATGAAAAACTGTGTAAAAATGTTATGAAAATATGCAAATTATAGAAAACTATAAGAAGTAAATAACTCAATTTTTAAAAATACAATAAAATAATGGTTTAATTTAAATATTAGATCAAATTAGATTCTAATAAATAAAAAAATATTAAAATATTCTAATAAATAAACTGACAAAAATAAACAGTACAGCACTATAGGTAGTAGAAAAATAATGCAATTATGTAACTTAAAAGAAGCCAAATATTTTCCAAAGTATGTTTCAGACATTTAAATATTTTTTATTTATTTATTTACAAAATAAATTGGGTCTTTATACAAGAAACTATACAGATGCATTTTAAATTTTAGGATGGGGGTCCCTCACACACGCATGACGTATGGAACCTTTTCACATGACTGATGACGTGTTTAACAGTCATCAGCATCATAAATCCTCAAAGGTTTTTTATATATATATATATATTTTTTTTTTAATGTATGTACATTTATAACACTACTTTGTATTATATCACCTTTGCATCTAATTACAAAAAAACTAGTTAACGCTAATGTGAGGGTGTTTCTAATGCAGCGTCTACAGGAGGGACGGTAAATTTAACATCGTTCTCTCTTCTGAATGCTGTAATCAGTCACTCTCAATTTCTTTTCCTTTTTTGAAAGTCTTTTCAAAGGAGTTTTTCCTTTGCTATTTGAGCAAATGGGAATGCAAAAAATATATTTGTGTTACCCACTCACTGCTCTTGAAGTTAACCCAACTATGACAACTTCCGCTGCTGAGAAACCCGGAAATGTGAAAAAGGTCCATTTTGTGGTCCATGGCTAAAAGATTAAAAATCCCTGTCACAGAGCAACTGAAATTTTCAATTATTTATTCCTTGGTATTGATTATTAATTCTAAACTGAATATTTCTAAAAAAAAAAAATGCAAATGCTACTAATGACTATAAATGAACTGCAAAACTGTCAACTCCGATAACTGGCATACCTACATCCCAACATTTTAATCAGCACAAATCAAATTATTATTTATTCTTTGTCATATGGAATGTTTAAAACTTTAAAGAAAGCAACTTTAAGGAGAAGAAAACAAAACAATGGCCAAATGGTCATTAGCCATTTTCAGCACATCATAAAACCCATCTGGTTTGAACTCTTTTGACAAAACAGTGAATTTTATTATTGAACATGTCCCCATATTCTTATTTTCATGTACCATGTGACTTTTAACTGCCCAATTAAAAAGCTGCTTTCTGGGACGTGTTTTAGAACCTTCAGTCCGCTCTAGTTTCTCGTCATATTTCTACAGCTACAGCCGAAATAGAAGTTTAGCCGCGGCGCTGTAACGTCATGAAGCAGAAAAGGTTCTAAACGCACGCGGCCACTTTTGTAAAGCCGAAATACCCGCGTGCTGCAGGCGGCGATAAAAAGCACGTAAAATATGTAAATTTCATGTGTAATTGTCTCAAACCTAACACGACGCCACAACACAGGCCCCTGCTAACCAGCTAGCTTTCCCACATCACTTAGCATGGGACTTCAACACACATACTGTTCTGACACCTTAGTGCCTCAGACATCGGTAAACAGCGAGGTTTTTGGATCACATTCACATGAATGATATTCCTACCTGATCCAAATTATCATCGCTAGCACTATCCTCCGAGTCAGAGTCAATCACGACCCGACCTTTCCGTTTCTTTACATTCACCATGGTTAGCTGCCTGGCTCCCCTGCGTGTGTGTTTAAACAGCAGCGCCGCACTCCTCCACACAAAGGCGCTAGAGCTGCACTACGCATGCGCACACGTCACCCCCATAAACATCGACTACACATACAGGATCAGAAATGCGCTGTATCGAATAATTATGCATTTTCTGTATACATACAGTTGGCGAAAATTATAATGATATTTGTTTGTCGCTAAATGTGATGTGCGCGGGAATCAACTGCGAGAGAGATTTGCTGTCGGTAGGACCATAAGCACATGTGCTTGTTTCAGGTAAGGACAGATACATGACGGACCGTAATGGCTTGTTTGAGTGTCAAGAGTGGTAAGACGTAGTTGCTTTTCAAGCCATATTTTATGCTTATTCATTCAATTATGTATTTTTAACTATGATAAATGTGGTTACATTCGGTGTTTTAACATAGCTGTAACATGTAACTGTCGTGACAAAAACATGTAATCACGCAGTGGCTCTTGTATTTGTTGACTTGTGAATGTCATTTAAAGTCAAATGAGATTTATTCCTATTGCTCATCCAAGTCAACGTGTAAGTGTTGGCAACAAAAAGAGACGGCTGTATGATATTCAGGGCTTTTTTCCACGTGTTATGTGCCGCTATGGGTTTCAATCTTTTGATCGCAGGAGACCCCCATCCTAAAATGTAAAATGCAGCCATATAGTTTCATGTATAAAGACCCAATTAATCCTAATTTAAATTGATATACCATGAACCAATTTAAAATATTATTTGGAAAATATTTAGTGTTTATTAAGTTACAGTTCAACATACTTTACATAATTTAATTTTACATAGTTCTACATAATTTACTTTAGTACTGTACTGTTTTTCATTTATTTAAATATAATTTTTCTTAGTTATTTATTTCAATCTATTTTTATTATTTACTTATTTTAATCGAAGTGTTGTTTACATAATTATTTTAATCTGTCTTGTACTATTTATCTAATTATTTTAGACTATATAGACATTTAGAAACTATATAGATGCCTTTTAAATGTTGGGAATGAGGATGCATGAGAACAATTATATTTGGAGGTCTGTGGTACCTAAAAGACTGAAAACCCTTGCCACAGAGCAACTGAAGTTTTCCATTATTTATTCTTGTTTTTTAGGATTATTAATCCAGAACTAAACTGAATATTTGTAGAAATACCATGGTTAAGTTCTTGTTCTACCTTGCAGTGTAATGGTTTGACAAAAGGCTACTAATGATTAAATGAACATGGACCACCTGTCACTTCCTTGCAGCCCTCTGTTTGAAAGCCCCTGCTTTAGATGACCGTCATCTTGATTTGGATTAGTGAAAACATTTGAATCCAGAAGATCAACTGACATGATATATGATGGCAAATATAAAAAAGGCATTTCACTAATGTTTTCTTTTTTTTCAGGATTCTACTGGATGCCTGATCTGATAACAAGAGCTACTACTAGCAAATGGCTGTGTCAAAAACAACATTAAAAACTCTGCTTGGAGTTTATGGTGTCATTCACAGACGGACTCTGTTATTGCCGTCTACCCTGAGATGCTCAGTTATACTGAGCACCAGGAGCGTCTATGAGCGTGATTACCGCAGACCAGGCCAGCCTCCAGACACCCGCTGGCCCTGGCAAAAGATACAGTTTGATTTCTCCAAAGGTGTGGAGGGTATCAAGAAGCACATTGGGTTGTTGAAGGATGAGTTTGTGCAGCGCTGGACTGGACCTGAAGGAAGGCCGTTAATAGATCACATGCTGGAACAAACACGTGTCCAGTGGGAGTTCCGTGGACCGGAGAGTCTCAATCAGTGGGTGGTGTCATCCGATCAGGAGATTGGGGGTCACAGTGAGGCATACATCAAACTGGGCAAGATCAACACCACGTGTTTGCTGTATGGGACCTTGTGCTCCACACCTCCCCGTGATGGAGAGACTCGATACAGTGGATACTGCACTCTGCGCTCCAAACAGCCGCTGGTCAGTGCCGAGATCGAACATCGCTCCATCTGATCCATTATTCAATTCCTTGTTCATCATCTTTTAGACCTCTTATGCATTTTTTTTTTGTTTGTCTTATTTCTGCATGGGTTAATGATTAATCTTTGTACAGTACATGACATTGATAGCCACCAATTTATTTGTACAACAGGTGATTGTAAAAATATTATGCAAAAGTGTAGATGAAACTGTAATATAATGACTTATTCCATTTAAATTTAATTTCCTTTGCTTATTAAACTCCCATCGGTTTACTTTTTTTTTTAAAGAAATCTCTCATGCTCACCAAGACTTTGATTAAAAATTCATTAAAAAACATAAATATTATCACAATTTAAAATTAATGTTTCTGTTTTAATACATTTTAAGATGTAATTTATTCTTGTGATGGACAAGCTGAATTTTCAGCAGCCATTACTCCAGTCCTCAGTGTCACATGATCGTTCAGAAATTATTAATAAGCTGATTTGGTACATATTAAGAAACATTTCTTATCATCATCAATGTTCAAAATTGTTGTGCTGCTTAACATTTTTGTGAAAACCTTGATTTTTCAGGATTCTTTGTTGAATAGAATGTTAAAAAGAACATTATTTATTTGAAATAGAAATCTTTGTAACACAAATGTCTTTGTGTCACTTTTGATTAATTTAATGCATCCTTGTAATATGTTATATAAATGTTATAAAACTCTTAAAGTTTTGAATGGTAGTCTATAGGTGTATTTTCAATTTATAATTGTACAATTTATAAAGAAAGTACATTGAGACACTATAATTCATGAGTTGCATGTTACATAAGAGTAAGGTATTAGAAGGGAGCAGTATTGAGAAACACAGCTTAAGGGTTTGTTATTTGCATAAATGTGCATGCATTTAAAGTGAGCAGTAAAGGAGCAATAATATGTCATTTGACCTTTGAAACATTCCTTTCTTTTGCAGGCCTCATTTGACAGAAAAAAATACTATGACTGGTCAAGTTTCAACACGTTACATATGCGTATTCGGGGAGATGGAAGACCATGGATGGTAAACATGTCTGCTGAGACCTTCTTTTCTCATCAGAGAGATGACATCTACAGTTACTTCCTCTACACTAGAGGGGGACCCTACTGGCAGGATGTCAAGGCAGGTTTTAAAAAATTGACATGAATGTACATCTAGAACACACTTCATCTGCAGTTCATATGAAAGTGCATCCAAATCAATCTGTCTTACACTATTTAAAAGTTTGGGGTCGGTAAGAATTTTTAAAAAGTAATATATTTATTTAATTATTCAGCAGAGAAACATTGAACCTTTTAAATTAAAAAAAAAAAATCCTGTTTCAAATAAATGCTGTTCTTATAAATTTTATTATTAACCAGAACCATTAAAAAAATAAAAATAAATCTTAACCCGAAACACTTGAATGGCAGTAATATTTAGTCCTAACTTATGTTAATTGTAAAACACTTTTACAGATCCCGTTCTCCAAGTTTTTCCTTTCCAGCCGGGGAAGAATACAGGATGACCAGCATGTCCTCTGGTTGGATAAGGTCAGCATGGCTTTCTTGTCTCCTCATAGTTTATCTAGTAATTGATATTAGCATTTAATCTTTGTTATTTTTCCTCTGATGATATATTTATGAGCATTATGACGCAGATTCATTATAACATACTTTAAATCAAAACTTGTTTGTGCTCTTAGGTAAAGAGTATTGGTTTTACATTGGGGGATAAAGCAGACGGCCCATTTCAGCTGGAGATTGACTTCATTGGTCTGTGCAGTGACCTTGCCCACACAGAGGAGTTTGCATACGAGCTTTACAAGAGAAACCCAGAGGTCTAATTGGATTAAGCAAGATTCAGCAATCGTAGATGACAGACAGACACCGATTTATTAATAAAAACTTCAATCAACATTTTTTGGAGGCCGAAATCTTTAACACACATATATAAATGACCACATTTAAGACAAAGAAGTACAAAACGATCATTTATGAATATCGCTCAAGTTCAAATAGTCATTTTGTGTGACTTTACTGTTTTTGTCTTTACAATTAATTAAAGCCCAGTACAAATAACCATTCATACTAAAAACACATTTGGGGGTACACTTTCTTTTTACACATATAATCAAAATTTAAGAAGTATAAAATCCTTATCTATAAATGGATTTTAAAAATGAATGCTTTTGTTGGATGACCTCACCTCATACTAAGCATATTAACCACATATGAAGTGTTTACAGAACAGCAAAATATGTACAAAAGTTTGGAATAGAAAAGACGAAAGCTAAACATGTACGGTGAGTGTCTAAGATAGCAAAACAGTAAGAACACTGGAGTTAGGCCATGACCAGACCTCGTCTGGCACCCAACATATTTTCTTTCTTTTGTTTTCGGTCTTGTGTGTGCTTGGCACGTCGCTCCTCTCTGAAAATTAAAAGGCAAAACATATTCAATGTGGAGAAGTTTCATTTCAGATAATGAGACACAGGAAATTCAAATGTATGCTAGGTTTGGGTTGTAAGATTTTTTTAATGTTCTTAAAGTTTCTTATGCTCACCAAAGTGGCATTTATTTGATTAAAATACAGTAGAATAAATAATATTGTGAAATATTGTTACAATTTAAAACCATTCTAATATGCTGATTTGCTGCTCAAGAAATTTCTTATCAGTTTTGAAAACAGTTGTGCTGCTTAATATTTTTGTGGAAACCTTGATACATTTTTTTTTAAAGATTTGAATATAAAGTTAAAAAAACTGCATTTATTTGAAATATAATTTTTGTGACAATGTAAAAGTCCTTACTGTCACTTTTGATCAGTTAAAGGGGTCATATGATGCGATTTCAATTTTTCCTCTCTTTGGAGTGTTACAAGCTCTTGGTGCATAAAGAAGATCTGTAAAGTTGCAAAGACTAAAGTCTCAAATCCAAAGAGTTATTCTTTATAAAAGTTAAGAGTCAGCCACGCCTACCTAAAACGGCATGTTCTAACGCCCCCACATATCTACGTCACGATGTGGGAAGATTTGCATAACGCCGCCCAAATGTTCACGCAAAGAAAGAAGGCGTAACTTTTATTCTCGCTGTAGTCTTGTTACCGCAGCCGCCATGTCGTGAAGGCGCTGTGTGTTTCGTTGTGAAAGCGAAACTACTTTGTTTGGCCTTCCAAAAGAGGACGATATTGCTTCGTCAGACCTGGAGCTGATCCGTACTGGTTGTTGAGGAAATACAACAACTTTGTGCTGTGGAGTCCAGCCCGGGGTCGTCACATGTGGTTGCCGCAAGCCCTCCGGACGCTCCTTCGTCCAATCCGCCGGCCACGCCGTTCTCAAACCCACCGGCCTCCGTTCACTCTAGCCCCCGGCCTCTGCTCACTCTAGGCCGCCGTGTGTGACACTGTGTTTCGTTGTGAAAGCGAAACTACTTTGTTTGGCCTTCCAAAAATAGACACGACTAGAAATCAGTGGTTAAGTTGTATTTACAACACTGTTCCAGAACACTTCAACCCAAATATTCAGATGTGTGCAGCACATTTAAAAACGGACCCCAACTTTTTGAACAGTAGTGACCAATCAATGCACAACTAAAATAAGCATCTCACCTGGTTTGAACTTGGTGCTGTTTATAATTTTTCTGGTGTGAAGGAACAGTCTGAGATTTATTAAGTGCTGTGTTCTCCTGTTGAGCTCCAAACGCCTTCAGTTTTCCTGCAGAGGCAAATGAAGACAATGAAAAGCAAGCAGATACAATTCAATTCAAGGAAGCACTGCCTGACATGTTAGTTCTGGGTATTTAATTCATATTTTTGTCTGAGTGTGGACATACCTTTGTGTGGTTTGTAGGTGAGCGGACGAGAGAGACTGGCCTTCAGATCAAATGTGTTCTTCTTGGTGACACCAGGGGTGACTGACATACTGTTGTTCCCATTAAAAACAAATGGAGTAGCTCCTGTAAAAAAAAAAAAGCAAAACAATTAAAACCAATGCTTCATAAAATCTTTTTTTGTTGTTGATAAATGATTAGCGCAATGTAATGGCATTACTCTTACCAGGTGTTTTGATGGCACCAACACTTTTATTAAGTTCAGGTTTGGTATGAACATCAGATTTCCTCCCTGGAGTGGAGGTAAGAGGGATGAAAGGAGACATACGAGCTGGAGTCTTTACCAGCGAACGCTTATATTCGTTATCGTGAGTGGTCTGCGAGAACCTAGAGAAGGAAACGCAGCAGTCAATAAGTACAGCTGTAGAAATTGGTTTTATTATAATAAACTATGTTCCATTTAAACACTTTAGTTGTCAGTGCTTGGCTTTAGCACCTCAATTTCAATACTAAAAGCATTATAAACTTAAGTGAATTAGAGCCATTGATGTATTTACCGGACATTGATTTTATTAGTGGTGAGGACAGTTGGCCTGAAAGTGGTGGTGTCCTTTAAAGCAGACTTGATGGCAGACTGCTGAGTGAGCCTGCGTTTTTCTGCCAATGTTTTTTTCTCCTGCTCTCCAGGACTGAAGAGAGACACTCTGCTAGCAGGCACCTTCTAATGGGAGACAACACCAAAGTTTGCTTATGATTTCAGGTCGAAGTTCTAGAATTCAGACACAATTCTATTTGAACAAGATGTGAGTTTTTTTCCCCCACAGTTTTATAAAAATGACACTATTTGACAACAAATTCACAATGAAGCATGATGACACACAGATTGATACTACAGCTGATATTCAAGCTTTTTGGTGACTTACAGTTTGAGCCTTTGTTTCAACCGATTTCATCAGTGTCTTCTCTGACAGAGTCTGAAATTGCAAAAATAAATAAACCACTTATAAATAAAACATTTGGAACTCAAACTACACTGTTCAAACCAGTGGTATTTATTTATTTTTTAAATAATATTTAATAAATAATATTTTTTTTGTCAGCTACATCAGTTATTGTTGCACATCTCCATTTCGTTGCAAACCTATTTTCTTCTGTGGAACTTGGTTCCATTGATTGTTTGTTTTTTATTTTAGTTTAATATTGTTTCCATTTCTTTTTCTCCATACAGTGGATGTCAATGGAAACCAAAACTGTTTGGTTACCAACATTCTTCAAAATAACTTATTTTATGTTCCATAGAATAAAATAAGTCATACAGGTTTGGAACGACATGAGGGCGAGCAAATGATGTTTGGGTGAACAATCCCTTTAACGACAACAACACTGGTTATTATTTGACAGGCCAGGGTTTCACTCTCGTTACCTTCAATTCCTTGACAGAATTCCTGAGCACCTCCATTTGTTTGTTCTTCCTTTGGACATAAGAATCAATGGACTCCATCTTTTTGAAGTGAGCCTCATGGAGTTTCTTGAAGTCTAGGGAAGAGTGATTTGCAAATACATTACCTCAAGGGCAGAGCTCAGAATATTTGTTTACATGTGTTACGTAATGATCTCAAGTGAAACAGTGAACTAAACAAGAACAAGAAACTGTATTTTGAATAATACAGGAACTGGAAAAAATATTTTGTTTTTGTGTATAAAGTTGGAAGGATCTTATTACTAGGAGTTGTCGGCCTCAGTGCAGGTTTTCTCTTCATCAGGCCCTCAAGACGAGGGATTTTACCCGCTGTTCTTCTCCCCACACCTGCAATATATACATTTTAATAGTCAACACCACATACACTGTGCAGGAACAAATCACAAGGTAACTTATCCATCTCATCTATTAGATCTTAATTAAAAGGTTAATTAATAACATCTACTCTCAATGAGCAACTTAATATCAAGGCGGTTTTCACCTTTAACACTTGGCTCTGCAGGAGCACCTTCAGAGTCTGGATTGGTTTCCCCAGATTCTAGACCTTTCTCCACAGGATCTTCTTTAGTAGATGTTTCAGGTGGAACTGGTGTCTCTGTGTCCTTGGGTGAGGACGCCTTCCTCCTCTTGGAGCCCCTTCGGCCCTCCTCTTGTGCCGGCTTTTCTTCATTCTAAATATTACATATTTAAAAAAATTAATTACAAAACCCAACAGCAGCAGTTTTAACATTAAGTGACATGACATCTGACACACAGATGCCATTGGCACATGCCACTATGCTCAGTGACACTTCCGGTTTTCAGTGGCATGTGTCAGTGGACAGTGGCATGTGTCACTAAAACCTGTGACATGTCAATGGACTGCGTCTTGTGTCAGTTGCCGCGGTGCGTGTCGCACCTTCGGTAGTGACTGACACCTGCCGCTGGGTGTCGCTGCATAATGTAGATTGCGTGACACACGCACTTAACGGCAGAACGATATTGAATTAATTAATTGCTGTCAAATTATACGATTTATTACATCGCGGAGTTCATTTGTACAACAAGCATTGAGTTCCTATATTAAGATAAAAATGTGTCTTATGCCCCTTAATGAGTATTTTTCATTGTAAGTTTATTTCCAGTAGCCAGTTCCAGTTTTGTGCAATGCATTCAAATACGTAAATACGGGTTTTTTCATTTTTGCATAGATTTGACAGTTCAGCAGTATCATTTGTAATTATAAAATAATATAGAGACTATGCAGAGGCCATAACAAAAAAAAAAAAAAAACGTTTTAAACAAATGTGCCAAACAAATATCAACACTGGCTACCAGAAATCCCTTACTCTGCCTTTAATGTTAAAACTGCCTCTCCCAAGACGTGGATATAACGTGTATATCTAAAAGTAAAAGATGAAACCGTCCAGATTGAAAATAAAACTGCAGCCTACATATGCTCATGAATACCTGAGCAGTGACAGATGTGGAGTCACTGAGCTTTCTCTTAGCAGTGCGGCCTTTTCCCCGGCGCTCGGTCACAAACGTTGCAGTGTGCGCGCCCTGCTCGTCCACGGCATCGTGCGCGTCCGCGGTGGCTGCATCATTATCCTGCAAACAATGCAGTATAATTCTGTTACAGCAACTCTTCCCATTTCAGAAAGATTATGGTGACAATGCACAAAAATAATACTCACATTTTCAGATGTCTGGTGTTGTTGTTGTGAAAAGTGTTCTTTTAAAGCTTTCAACAGCTTTTCAGCCTAGAAAAAAATAAGCATTGAGCATTTAATAAAGTAGATTAGAAAAGTCGCTTTGGATAAAAGCATCTGTTAAATGACAATGTAAATGTAGATAACGTTCAGTCACAAACTAACGTAACTAAATGAAAGGTTTGTGATTTCGCGCAAAAACGCCAATATAACTCAAAATCTAAAGAAAAGTTACCATACTTTAATTAGTACAGCGTTCGTATTAAAACATTTAACGAATCTACATTCACTCATGCAAAATGCAAGTCATTTGGTAACGTTACACATGGAATGGCTTTAGTTAAACAGCACTGTATCGCTTTGTATTCGCTTTAAACGCGATTTACCTTCATATTTGCTTTCAGTCCAACCTCTTTCGCGAGGCGCTGCAATTCCGCATATTTAAGCGAATCCAAATCCATATTGTGGATAAACTCAATGTAAAATCTGCAGATATATAACTGTAATAATGAAATTGACGACTCCGTGATATACAGCTCGGTTTGTTTAGGTGGGATTGCCCAAGTGCCGTTTGAAAAATAACGTGTTTCAAAACCAGCCTTTTCCGCTAGATGATTGGTTGAGAAGCCCATGACGACGCAGCACTACATCCAATAAGAAGTGGCGTTTATGACTCTTTGGTTTTGATTGGCTAAAAGGTTTTAGCAAAGGCGGGGCTTGATTAAGCAGTTTAGGGCGCCACCTAAAGTTCAAGCTCATAAATGAATGAACGTGGTTTGCGCCGTCTTGTGTGAGCAAGAACAACAAAACTTGCTTATGTAATCATGTCGAACAGCACTCGAAGTTTTCTCGAAAGCTCTTGTGATAACGGTCCATACGACTCGACACAGACTAGTTCAATTGCAGATCAGCTAAGAGCAGTGAAGGACGGAGAAGTCTGTATGGTAGACTATAGGAATTGCAGTGTTCTACAATGCATGACATGCAACACAGTGCTTGGAGACTCTCTCGGCATCTGTGGGGAAGTCCAGAGCCTCAAGAGTATCATTTGTTTGAGTAAGTTGTTCTTGGAATACTTTTAAAAGCATGCAGACTAAAATTCTGAAGATATGAATGCAGCCTTGAATACTTTTGTAAAAAGCACCAAAGGCCAAACACGTGGGTGACTGTGTTGTGATGATAACCACTGCATTTTTAATCTTTCCCTTTGAAGAAGTTACTGAGGATGTGAGGGTAAACAAAAAGCTGGAGATGAGTTTGAATGGTCATCTGGCTTTCTCGTAAGTATTGCTGTCTGTTGATCTCAACCGTTTCATCTTATGTCCAGCATGTGTATGTGCTGGATGTCCCATCATCCTGTGGTTTCTCTGTCTGTAGCACCCACCAAGTCCTTCACTGTGCTGGTTGCCATGGTGCCGTTGGCCTGGTTCTTCACTCCACCCCAGAGCACCTGTCTGCTTTACAAAACCTCTTCCTTTTACGAAAAGAGCTGATAAACTGGTGGGTGTAATTTGTTATAATAATGTCCACACAAACAGAAGTGCATTTTTATTTATAAGGAATAGTTCACCCAAAATGAAAAACTGCTAAAAATCTAACCACCCTCAGGCTATCCAAGATGTAGATGAGTTTGTTTCTTCTTCAGGACACATTTGGAGAAATGTAGCATTACATTATGGGTGCCGTCACAAGGAGAGTCCAAACAGCAGATAAAAACATCATCATAATCTACAAGTAATCCACACGACTCCAGTCCATCAGTTAACGTCTGTGAAATGTAAAACTGCATGTTTGTGTGACTGGAATCATTTGGATTACTTGTGAATTATTGTGTTGCTTTTATCAGCTGTTTGGAATGACATTATGCCGGCACCTATTCACTGTTAATGATCCATTGGTGAGCAAGTGATGTAATGCAAAATTATTCAGAATCTGTTCTGATGAAGAAACAAAATCATCTACTATCTGGATGGCCTGAGAGTGAATAAATGTAAATTTTTTTTAATGTACATTTTTATTTTTTGCTGAACCATTCATTTAAAGGGGTCATATCATGTTGCTAATAAGAACATTATTTTGTGTATTTGGTGTAATGAAATGAGCCGCGGCCTAGATTGAGCGGAGGCCGGAGGGCTTGAGTGAGGAACGGCCGGTGGGTTTGAGAACGGCGTGGCCGGCGGATTCGACGAAGGAGCGTCCGGAGGGCTTGCGGCAACACTCCAAAGAGAAAGGAAAAATTGAAGTCGCATCATATGACCCCTTTAAACTCTTTTAATGGATTCTTAAATCAGATTTTTTTGCAGATAATTGATCATTTTTGTAAAATTTGACAAATGGTTTACATTTTAGCTACATGCTAAGAAGTGGTGCATGTGTTAAAGCCTCCAAAATCAACTTCAAACACCGACTCATGGACAAAAATATTCAAGAGGTATTTATGCCAATAAATAATTACCGTTTATTTTACAGAAGGGGATCAACATTATATTTTATTCAGTTATATTATAGGTTGCCTTTACAGCTACTCAACTCACTTGGGTTAAACATTGTGATTTTTTTTTCTAGCTGAAGCAGTATTTAGAAGCTCAGCTGAAGCAGGTGAAGATTCTGGAAGGAATGATGGAAAAATTGTGCACACACAATGTAAACTAAAGAAATGCCAGGCATGGAATATGTACAGTTGTTTTATTATAACTGCTGAAATAGTGTGTATATATATTTTTGTACTATGTACTGAATACTAACTTGTTTGTTTATTAGGTATTGGTTATTTTTTAATTTACATTATGTGCAGAGAAAGGAATAGTATAACAGTAAATAAAAGTATATATTGTATTAAAGAAAAATGACTAATCTAATCTCTTACACTACAAGATGAAATATAACACTGAAGAAAGAAAACACAACACATGTTTATGATTGGCACCATGCTGCTTTTTTATTGCTAAAATTTAATATTTTTTGTACAAAATCATGCAGGGTGCATCTGTAGTGCATAGATCAGACTAAGCATAGAGTTTCACATTCAGAGGCAAAATCAGCAATGCATATCAGGTCATCAAAGCATATAAACTTATGTTCTGCACTATTTGCATTGAACATGAAAAAGAACTTGTAATTTTATTCCATTTAAACTCACAATTGTTAGTTTTGCTAAAACGCACTGTATCTTGCCTCTTGAATCACAGACTTGTTACATTTTCATCATACAATACTTAAATCCAAAAAAGTAACTTATTTTAATTAATACATCTGTGAATAATTAACAGCAGCAATAAACCTTTGGGATTTCATGCATTTGAAAATAAAGTCACAACATTGGTCCACTCATAGATTTATCACATTTCTGCATAAATATGTTCAAGCAAAGCTTAATTATTGCATGCATCACAAAACTTTTTTTATCCACTTCTACCATGCATCAACAAATGTTTTTTGCACTCTTAAGAAAATACTAGTTAATTCCCAATGGATCTTTTTCATTTTGTAGTATATTGTTTACCCAGGATTCACTGAGACAATGAATCATCAGAGTGTCACAAACTGCTACCAGAACACTGCTCATATTGCTGTTAATGAAAATAAGCTGTAAATATACATACAGCTTATGTGCATTCCACAATGGTTTGAATGTAAACATGCAAGGTCAATAGAAGGGCATAAGCCCTGCATATATATATACATTTACTACCCATCAACTTTCTTCCACCTGTCCAAAATAAAAAAGGTCTTTCATATTTGTCAGACCCTTGGAGCTACCTTCACATATTTATTTGGTGTCAACGAATAATGGGGCTGTTAACAGCTAGTTCTGTACTACCAAATATGAGCAATGGGATGTTCTAGATAAAACACTTACCACTGTCACAAATATGCTACAGATTTCTATTTCACAAACACCACTGAACTATTCCGACACTATAATTCATGCATAAACTGGTTATTGCTTCTAAACGTTGAACTTAATACACATCATGGCTTGCATATCTTTGAGTATATTTTAAAAATATAGTTTGCATTCCAGTCATTGAGGTATTTATCTACATTACAATGCTTTGATAATTGCTTTATGCCACTTAATATACTACGTTACTTTAAAATCTAGAGTTTCTGCTACTAGGAATAATCTACCCACAGCTCTAGTCTGAGACAACATTACCTGATGGAGAATGCGATATTAGAGGTATGAATACAAACACAGTTCTAGGTTACCCTTTCTAATCAGGACGAGAATACTTTAGTCTTCTTTGTGTCCGATTACTACAGACCAAATAACGTTTCAGGATCAACTGTTTCCATAATAAGGAATCATCTTGAAACAGGTATGAAATGAAACTCTTCACTTCTTCTAAGCCACCAAGCCAAATTTTCTGCCCGTTAGGGACTTTCGTTTTGATCTGAGTCAACTATTTTGGGCCCAGAACTTAATTTTGCACAGTACAAACTAGGACAAACTCACACAGTGCTTATGAAACATATGTATTTCAGCATGGCTAGCTGCACGTCAATACCAACCGCCATTTTTCTAATCCTCAGCATGCTACAACACATTATTATGAACTAATAGTGATTACCTGTGAATAAACAACGGTGTTTGCCGATTAAAAAGTAAAACGAACAAACTCAGCATGAGTGAAAAAATGACTCGTCCAGTCACCTCTTAATCAAATCGATCAAGATGTAGATGCTGCATCCATGGTGGTTACTAACTAAATCATTATCTGCCTATTTTATTTTCTAAACGACTTTATTATAGCATATACTGAATGTCACTACGACTATTAAACTCAGCAAGCATCGCTACCGTACATGCATGGCCATGTTTACACTGGCACTACAAATCCCGCCACCCTAAAGCAAGCGGATGAAACTATTAATGTTACTAAAAAATCTACTTCAAATAAATGCTGTTCAATTAACTTTCTATTACTCAAAAAATCCTGTAAAAATATGTCATGGTCTCAAATCTTAAGCAGCAAAAACTGATTTCAGCACTGACAACAATAATGAAGGATCATGACACCAAGTAATGTCTGCTAAAAAATTCAGCTTTGCCATCACAGGAATAAATTATAAAAATAAAAAAAATTCAAATAAAAAAAGTTATTTTAAATTGTAACAATATTTCCCTTTATTACCGTTTTACTGTATTTTCATCAAATCAATGCAGCCTTGGTGAGCAAAAGAGACTTCTTTCAAAAATAGTTAAAAAACGTAATTATTCCAAACTTTTGGCCGACAGTGTCCGACCAGTGAACTACAAGGTCTCTATATGATTTGTGTGATATTCCCAAACCTATTAATAAAATAACATACATGAAGTGAAAAGAAACACGCTCACTCTTCCAACTGATTTCCAAACCATCTGACAGATAATGACTCTATTTACATCACTGTGAGAAAAGCATGTGAATACAGTTTGATCGGAGTGCTCGCTGTGTGGGTTTGAGCTGTGGTAACTTCTGAGGTAGTAAAATAATTAGATTTCATTATGTCCTGCATCTCATTAGCACCCCACCCCCACTAGAAAGGTTTAACTGTGGAATTTATAAAGCTTATGCTCAGGTCAGTGTGCCACTCTGTCTTGGTTTGTCAGTACAAGTACATACCCAAATTAATTGAAATCAGAATCGAATAAAGAGATGGTGGATCCGAATCAAATTAATTTGTTAAATCAGTGTCAATACCCAGCCCTACTACAAGGAATTAAGTTATCTTGTGTTATTTTTGCTGCACAAACTGACCTACCTGGTCATGAGTTCCTTTTATGACTGTTTCGTTCTCTTCTTGATATGACATATGAAGGGCACTGTTTTGATAAGACAAAGCAGGTTAATTAAGATCTGCATTTTCGTTTAACAATATAGCTATTAGTTTTAGAGGACTTATGAAAGGAAAGGACAAAGTGCTTGAAAGAACAATGAAAATGAATACACAACCAAATAATGTGCATCTCTTCTCCTGCACAATGCATGACCATCTACCGAGTGACGCAAGTGCTGGAATGCGAAACTGCAACACAAAGATTAGACAAAGACAAGCTCCTGTAGTGCATGTCAACACTCATCGTGCACTTACCGTCTCTGGTGATCTCGTGCTGGTTTCGAAGCGAGTGAACTGGAACTAAAAGTCACCTCCATCATACTCGTCGGTTGAGTAGGACTGGCCAGGCTCTTGAGATGTTCGGTGAGCCTGGCCCCGCTGCGCTGCTGCGGCGGAGGACTGCGCGCTACGCCATTTCGGTCCCGTGTGCTGTGCTCTGGCAGCTCTGCTGCTGCTGCAGCCTTCTTCCGGCGCATATCGTTGTCTGCGCTCTGATTGGGCAGCCGAGCGATCCTTCAGGCGAACAAGACCCGCCCTCTGGGACAATAACAGACACCTGGGCTGCGTTCAGCCCCGACAAAAACGGTGCAAAACGTTTTTTAAAGGGGTCATATGATGCAATTTCATTTTTTCCTTTCTCTTTGGAGTGTTACAAGCTCTTGGTGCATAAAGAAGATCTGTAAAGTTGCAAAGACTAAAGTCTCAAATCCAAAGAGATATTCTTTATAAAAGTTAAGAGTCAGCCACACCCCCCTAAAACGGCTCGTTCGAACACGCCCCCACATATCTACCTAACTGTGTGGGAAGATTTGCATAACGCCGCCCAAATGTTCACGCAAAGAAAGAAGGCATGCAAAACGGTGCACACCGGTTTGAGCTTGAACTTGCCCCAGGTGTTAGAGAGATTTTTATAGGCTATATATGAATGAAAAATTTACAGCAGCATTATAAATAACAACCAAGAGAAAGGTAGAAAAAACCGCCAAAGGGAATCAAAAACACAATAAGAAGATACGTGAAAGAACATGAATAATTCACATACTTAATATTTTGTTCATGATTATTTAGGAAAAACTTCCAAATATTGAAAGTCTCGATAGCTTTGAAATCTCTTATGCTCACCAAGGTTGAATTTATCTGATCAAAAATACAGTAAAAATAGTAATATTGTGAAATATGATTACAATATAAAACATCTGTGATGGCAAAGCTGAATTTTCATCAGGCTCCAGTCACGATCCTTCAGAAATCATTCCAATACGTTGATTTGGTGCTCAAGAAACGTTTCTTATTATTTTTAATGTTGAAATCAGGTGAGCTGCTTAATATTTTTTCAGAATATTTGGATAAATAGATTTTTTTTTTAAAGAACTGAATTTATTTGAAACAGAGTTTTTCTAAACGTTGTGGATGACTTTGTCACTTTTGAGCAATTTAATGTGTTCTTGCTGAATAAAAATATTAATTTCTATAATAATTTAAAAATATTACTCGCCCTAAACTTTTGAACAATAGTGTATGTGTATGGACTTTAGCTACAATTTTTATAAGAATATTTAAAATATATTTAAATACAGGAGATTGACACGTGTGGAGGGAGATTTGTTTATTTTGCATATAAATGAGGACAGATTACTGATGATAAATAAATGACTGTATTAATAATATACAACGTGTGGAATGCAAATAGCAAAACTAAATAAATATTTAAAAACCTGGCAATAGTTTTATTGCGCTGTTTTATGCAATAAAATAAGTTAAATTAATGTGCATAAAGCACGGAATGCATTAACCTTACCTAACCGGTTTTGTGTAATGCATGTGCCTGAGGCTTGGCCACATGATGTGCTTTGATCTCACACACACACACACACACACTCTCACACTCTGAACACGCAATCACGCACGCTTGCCTCCTCCCCCCTGCGTTCTGCGCGTGCGTGCGTCTGCGGTACAACATCAACAGAATGAGCTCTCCTCGTTTACTGTCAGAAATTAAACAAAACTCTTTACATCCCAAGTAATTAAGTCTGTATTTAAGTATTGAGTGCGTTTCAAACTAAATCTCACAGTCGCCTTATCCGGACTAAACTCCGCGGTTGAAAGTGGTAAGAGATTTTCTGCGATTTCTTGAAATTAGATTATGTGCAAATGCAACAGTGCTAGGCCGCAGTCTTATAATCGAGCATGCATTTGTTTTTATGGGCGTTAAGATTCAACCGTACCCGAGAAATTGTTGTTGCATTTTAAGGCAATTTGGTTTCAGAATGAAAAAAAATACATGTCTTTCAACCTACATGTTTAACAGCAACGCTTCCGCAAAAGTTGCCCATCAATAAAGGCTGGGCTGCAAAACACTAGAGTGACCAGGAAAGATTATTCCCTTTCTTAAGCAGGATACAAAATTCTTTAAAAACTAACCATAACACAAATGCATTTTTATGCTTGTTATAGTGAGACCAACTTTGTGGCACGTGCATTGGCAAGCCAGTTGTGCTGCATCATGCGGGTCTTTATCAATGTCCATGAGACCAGTGGTGATGGAGCTCTATATGGTTGGCTGGGTTTGCATGGGGATAAATCTGCTGAGCAATGAGCCCTAAAATGACAAAACTTAATGTAGTCACACTCAATGCAAACCTGTTTGATTTAGCAAGTTTCACTTGTTTGACAATTGCTGCCATAAAATGCTTTACAATGCATCTAAAAACAAAAAGTTACCAACCCTTCAAGTAGGTCCAAGGCACAAGTGAAAGTAGTCTATAGTTACAATATGAGCCATTTGAGGAAGAGTTTACGAACATAACAACATGTTAGAACTGGCCAGGATCTAAAAACAAACTAATTTTCTTTAAAACCTGTTCAGACGTTACAATATTGCAGCATATGGGTCCACACCAAAATAATAAAAAAATTTGTCCTGCAGACCTGGTAAAACTAAATTTTGTGCCACCATATTGCTGGAATGACAATAAACTAAACATGATTTGACTTGTAATAACATAGTATGGTGTCTTGACAGTGTCTTAAAATACCATGGTATGTGAATTAATTCAGTATCCAGTGCTCTGGGTCTGTTTGGATAGGATTAGCTTACTAAGAAACCTATTATCATTTAATCTCATTAGATATGCTTAATACATCACATTAAGCAAAAAACTTGCTTTTTGCATTTTTAATTTGTCAAATGTAGTTGGTTGTCCACATATTCCATCCACTAAAACAATTTGCATACTGTTCACAGGCAGCATTCATCCTGAATTGTGCAGAAATAGCAAGATAAATATGGTAGTAGCTATTGCAAACATTGTGACCTTCTGAACAACCTGTGATGATGGTAACAGTAAACAAAGATGTAGAATAATGTATCTGTAATAAGCATTAAATTACTTGAAAAGAGGGGTTGACACACAAAAACCATGTTAGAATATAGAAGATGAACTTTGCCAATGATTTATTGTATAATAAAACAATAACGAGATTGGCATCTAATAATATTTGGTAATAAATCTCCTGATAGAAGCAAGCATTCATTAAGTATAACAATAGTGTTGTGAACAATGCATGATACACTAGCATTCAAAATGCTGTTTTTTTTGTATGTTGATTTATTAGGTATGCATTAAATGAACAAAAGTGATAGTAAAAACATTTACAATGCTTCAAAAGACTTACATTTCAAATAAATTATGTTCTTTTGAACTTTCTAAAAATCTGTAAATCACAGTTTCCACAAACCTATTAAAGGGATAGTTCACCCAAAAATTAAAATTGTCAGAATTTACTCACCCTCATGTCGTTCCAAACCTGTATGTGTTTGTTGAACATGAAATAAGATATTGTGAAGAATGCTGGTAATCAAACAGTTGATGGTC